CAAGGCAAGGCAAGGCAAGGCAAGGCAAGGCAAGACAAGGCAAGGCAAGGAAAGGCAAGGCAAGGCAAGGCAAGACAAGGCAAGGCAAGGCAGGGCAAGACAGAAAGGAGTGTGTCTATACACACACAGAGAGAGACAGAAACAGAGAGAAAGAAAGGAAGAAAGAAAAAGAAAAGGAAGGGTAGGAAGAAAGTGTGATGAGTATAATTATGTTCTAAAAAAACTATATAAATATAAAATACATAAAGTTCTTTATATAAAGATTTTTTTCAAAAATCCACCTAAAGAAATAGCTCAAAAGAATAATAGAAAAGAACAACATTCCCAAATACATTGCTAAACTTAAAAACTTACACAGCGGATAATATTTAGTTAGGAACATTCAGCTTCATAAAGGTATAACCAATCTCATTGCCATTTTTATGACCTTGAAAAGGTAGTCACTACCCACGGCACATCTGCTTCTGAACTTGCCATGCCTAACTATAGTATGTGCTGCTCATCTCAAATGTAAATTTCCTCAAAGGGAGTATAAGCATACCGGCTCTCTCTGTCCTTACTAACCAGAAAATGACTTTACAATAATATTATTGCATTTCTGTTTATGCTGCAAATGTGCTACTTCTCAATAGTGTTGCCATGCTTATTTAATAAATTTTGTCCAGCTGACACTGTGAGAAATTTCTCTTAGAGATTCTAAAGAAAACAAATATAAACTGTATTTCTTTAACTAAATAAGTAATAGCTAGATGCTTTGCTTTGAGAAGTTTGTTTTACCTATTCAAAAACATTGGGTTGTAAAAGTAACTAACCAGAAAAGATCATACATTATGCTTATGCATTCTGAACTGTTACCAATATCACGGCAATAAAATGATTACTCATTCAATAATACAGGGAAATTCAGTATACAAAAATCTTGGCCATTGTGTTTTATTTTCAGTATTTATTTCAATTCTATGAATGTCAATTATGACCTTCATAATCCTAATCATTTTTCATATTGTCTATGAGTACAATGACTCAGACTATTCTCAGTGTTTATATGTAAGAAAGTAGGGGTCCATCTAGCTCTTGTGATATAATCTTCACATAAGCCATGGATTAGCATAGATACAAGGTATTTTTGTCTATTTTATTTAGGCATATCTTCAATTATATTCAGTTTAAGTTTTTAATATTGGATTACAAGTTAGACAGAGAGGAGGAGAGACAGAGAGAACAATCCTCCTTCAGCTGATCCACTCTCCAAATGGCCACAGCAGCCAGAGCTGAGCCAATCTCAAGCCAGGAGCCTCTTCTGGGTCTCACTCATGGGTTCAGGGTCCAAAAGTTTTGGGCTGTCTTTGATTGCTCTCTCAGGCCACAAGCAGGGAGCTGGATGGGGAGTGGGGCTGCCAGGATTAGAACTGGGGCCTACATGGCATCCTGGCACATGCAGGGTGAGGATCTTAGCTGCTAGGCCAGCACGTTGGGCTCGATACTCAGTTTTATATTAATCATTCATTTACAATGAGATTGAAAAGTGAAAGCCCTCCTTGACACTGTATCATAGAAGACAAAAAGCATAGAAGCAATTATAGAAAGGTTGCATAAATATCACCCTCGACTTTAATATAACTTCCTGGGGAATGAGATCTGTTTAGGGTGTCTATGGGAGGTGATTTCTTTTTTTTTTTAAAGATTTATTTTTATTATTTTTTCATTGGAAAGGCGGATATACAGAGAGGAGAGACAGAGAGGAAGATCTTCCGTCCGATGATTCACTCCCCAAGTGAGCGCAACGGGCCCATACTATGCCGATCCGAAGCCAGGAGCCTCTTCCGGGTCTCCCACGCGGGTGCAGGTTCCCAAAGCTTTGGGCCGTCCTCGACTGTTTTCCCAGGCCACAGGCAGGGAGCTGGAAGGGAAGCGGGGCTGCTGGGATTAGAACCGGCGCCCATATGGGATCCCGGGCGTGCAAGGCGAGGACCTTTAACCACTTGCGCCACTGCGCCGGGCCCGGGAGGTGATTTCTAAAGCACATACTTTAAGCTAAGGTTTACAACACGGAAAAACTTCAAATAGGGAAATAGTTGAGAATTCTGCCAGAGACAAGGAGTATTTTGACTTGAATGGAGAAAAGTAGTAAGAATAATAAATAGAGTGATACAGAGCTGAAGAACATTGAAGTTAAATTACAGCGGATCATTTATCTGAAGGGAAATCTTCAACCAAAGGGTAAGATGGAAGACACATAAATTGCTCTGATTTGCGGAAGTTGGAATATCGAAGTATAAGTGATGACAATCAAATGTATATTTCAAAGAGGTCACCCAGGCAGCCTTTGATGTGCAGAACAGATTGATGGATAATTGAGAGGTTAAGGTTTTCCAGGAGAAAGACATTATCTTCAAAAAATGGCGTAGGGAAAACTGGACCACCTCACCTCATGCAGAACTGTAAAAGAAGGCCATACTGTATACTCTACATACAAAAATCAACTCACAGTGGATCAGGTATCTATAACATCAAACTGCTAAGGAAACATACATTAGCATGGTTAAATACTTCATGGAAGAGGCCTCAGAAGCACAGACCAGAAGAGCAAAAAGAGAAGAATGGGATCGCATTTCAAGGTAAGAAGCTTTTGCATAACACAGCTAATACTCTAGGAACTGAGAAGACAACCTACAGTATAGGCGACAATTTGCCTAATCTGCTGCTGGTAAAATACTAGAATCCAGAACATGAAGAATTCCAGAAAGTCAACAAAAACAATTAACAAACCAACTGAGAAATGGGTAAAGCCCATGAGCAGGCATTTTTTCCAAGAATGAAATGCAAATGACCAACATATAAATGAAAACATACACAAGGTCATTAACATCAGGGAAATGCAAATAAAATCACAATGAGATGCTATTTCAACTCAGGTAAAATTGTTATCATTCAAATATGAAAAAATAATGAATGCTACTGAGGATATAGAAGAAAAGGTGCCTGACTACACAACTGGTGGGAATAGAGACTGGTATATGCGTTGTGGAAATCAGTTTGCAGAGTTCTCAGAAATTTAAAAGCACATCTACCGCATGACCTAGTTATCTCACTAATGAGAATATACCTAAACAACAAAATCAATGAGCCTTGATTTGTACCTCCCATATCTATAACAACTCGATCCACAACAGCGAAGATATGCTGTCAACCCAGTTGTCCAGCAACTGATGACTGGAAAAAGAAAACATGGTATCTATACAAGCTGGAATTGTATTGTGCCATAAAAATGATCACGCCCTTTGCAACAAGATGCAAGTCATGACCGTTATATTTAACAGAATAAGCGATACCCTAAAAAACGAATATTACATGCTTTCTCTGATGTGTAACAGTTAATATATTGAGTACAAAATATCTTTAATATCTATGATGGATATCGATGTCTTGAGAATTAATCATTCTTTATAGCCAATCTGTGTGTCAACTGAATAGTGATCTATTCTTAAAGATTTCTTTATTTTTATTGAAAAGTTAGATACGTATATAGAGAGGAGGAGAGACAGAGAGAACGATCTTCTGTCATATGATTCACTCCCCAAGTGAACTCAATGGCCAATGCTGCACTGATCTGAAGCTGAAAACCAGGAGCTCCTCCAGGTCTGCCAAGGCTTCAGGCTGTCCTTGGCTGTTTTCTCAGGCCATAAGCCTGGATGGGAAGTGGGACTGCCAGGATTAGAACTGGTACCCATATGGGATGCTGGCATGTTCAAGGTGAAGACTTTAGCAGCTAGGCCACCACGCTGGGACTGTGATCTACGTTTAATTTGCTTATAGATTTGTTATTGGAACATCAGGCCTATATTATGGAGTAAATCAATATAGGTAAGCACTGTGTTTAAAAAACTATAAGTAGGTGGGAAGAAAGCAGGGTGGGAAGCAGAAAAGCACTACCATATTCTCATCATTGTGTCTATAAAGTATTTCTAAACTTTTCCCTCTATCTTAATATTTATTTAAATTTCCAGTTAAGAAGAAAGTCCAGTCTCACTCATTTGAGCCATGATGTGTTTGTGAATTGGAGAAAAAAAAAACATTATCTTGGTCTTTGAAAGCAAAAGCAAGTAGCCTGGTGGTGAATTAAACATATAAAGAAATATAAAAAAATGATTCAAGGCAGATTGGGATAATGGGTTAGTTGGCACATGGATGAGGATGTCCTTGGTTCCCATTATGAAAAGAGCACTGACTAAAGAAATACATTTAGTTTGCACCTAAGTTTATAAATCCAAGAGGAGTCACCATAAGTACGATTCTCAATGGTTTACAATTCACACAAGTGCCCAGCCCAGGTTAAAAATTTGGTAGCCTTAATACATGTTGGTACTTAAAACCATAGATATGTATGCTACTTAGGGAGAGAATATGAAGTGGGGTTGTAAAGCATGAAACACTAATAAGGCCACTGAATGCATCCAAACAAAATATATGATGTTGTAAAAAGCAAGGATGGAGTGAATAGAACCACGGAGTCAGGCATCCCTGTACTTGCACCTCTGAATCCTCCAGCATGGGACCATGTGGTGAGGATCTTGTTTGTGATGTTGTCACATTCATTTTTTCTCCTTTTTTCTTCTCTAAACTAATCTCCACATGGATCCATTTACATTGAGGTTTGGTCAATTCGATGGGCACTTTGAATAATACAAGTGGCTTCTGGTTTAGTGAGTTGCACTCTTTTCTTTCATTGACTTAGAAATGTGCTTGTTTGAATGAACTTAAAAATATTTCTTGGTAGTATTCCTGCAATTTATGCTGCATTTTAAAAAGTAACCTATTCACCAATAATGTCATACAAGCCCACTTTATAAATGTAACTATGGAAAAAGATTACTTGGATAAATCCCCCAAAGAATTAAATTCATACCACACAAAATAACTTCTGAAAGTTATTAAATAATGGTTTGGAGAGTAGGATGAATACTGTGACCAACATGTGGCAGAGACAAACAGTACTGTACCTGTTTTGAGAGCCATGTGTCTGATGTCATCTCATATTTCTGAAAGAAAATAATTAACTCTATGAAGCATCTGCAGACTGAAATGAGCACAAAACAATGCAACTTGCTTTCTCCATTTATGTTCAGGCATTTCTCTTCCTTTAACCGGTGAAATACAATGAGTGACCCTATTGATTCTGTTGTCACTACTGATAGGGAAGAAAAGAGAAGGGAAGGGAAGGGAAGGGAAGGGAAGGGAAGGGAAGGGAAGGGAAGGGAAGGGAAGGGAAGGGAAGGGAAGGGAAGGGAAGGGAAGGGAAGGGAAGGGAAGGGAAGGGAAGGGAAGGGAAGGGAAGGGAAGGGAAGGGAAGGGAAGGGAAGGGAAGGGAAGGGAAGGGAAGGGAAGGGAAGGGAAGGGAAGGGAAGGGAAGGGAAGGGAAGGGAAGGGAAGGGAAGGGAAGGGAAGGGAAGGGAAGGGAAGGGAAGGGAAGGGAAGGGAAGGGAAGGGAAGGGAAGGGAAGGGAAGGGAAGGGAAGGGAAGGGAAGGGAAGGGAAGGGAAGGGAAGGGAAGGGAAGGGAAGGGAAGGGAAGGGAAGGGAAGAAAATGAAAAAGGAAAAAGGAAAAAGGAAAAAACAGGAAAAAAGGAAAAAAGGAAAAAAGGAAAAGGAAAGGAATCCTCCAAAAGAATTGGGATTACATGACATTTTCTTTGGTCAACTTCAGAATTCCCAGTGCATGCCACCAGAAAGGACAGATCATTGTCCTACTGTGTTGGATTACCTCATTCCAATTGCTGTGAACCAACAGACTGTCATTTTTCACTACTAGGTACCATCACAAAGCAGAATTATTATGTCCTTCAAAGAGACTGGGCAAACTTCCAGTAATAAAATTTAAGGTGGACATTCTTTCAATACTCCAAACACTCCTAATGATTGGTATCATTGCTTATTCATAGCACTTCAGTGTTGAAAGACAAACTCAAGTATTTTGAAAGCACAAAACTCCATGCTCTTTAAAACAGTGTAGTAGATAATTGAAGCAAAATCTTACTGAAAAATGGCAAAACATAGACTAATTTTAATTTAAAATAAATCCATAAAGATCAAATAACTTCCAATAATACTGTTGACATATAATGACATGCCATACAGTTTCTTTAAAGAACTAAGTCTAAAGCAAATGTATTTAAGAAGGAAACTTTACAGCACATTATATATTCCAGTAGGTATATATATATTCCAGCAGATAGAGGCAGAAATTTTAAATTTTTAATTGCACTATTTTATGTACAGGGCATTTTTTTCACTATTTTACCTTTTAAAATTCATATCAGTATTATACTATAATTGACAACTATTTCTTTTCAAAGCATTTTTCTATTTTTACTCAAAATGTGTGTTCTATTTTTTACTATTATTATTATTTTTTTATTGGAAAGGCGGATATACAGAGAGGAGAGAGAGAGGGGAAGATCTTCCGTCCGATGATTCACTCCCCAGGTGAGCGCAACGGGCCCATACTATGCCGATCCGAAGCCAGGAGCCTCTTCCGGGTCTCCCACGCGGGTGCAGGGTCCCAAGGCTTTGGGCCGTCCTCGACTGCTTTCCCAGGCCACAGGCAGGGAGCTGGAAGGGAAGCGGGGCTGCCGGGATTAGAACTGGCGCCCATATGGGATCCCGGGCGTGCAAGGGGAGGACCTTTAACCACTTGCGCCACTGCGCCGGGCCCGTGTTCTATTTTTTAAATTCTATATTTTTATTTTATTTTTTATATCATTTACTTAGTTGAGACGGATGCATGCCCTGTGGACATGCCTAGGGAGAGCATGTGGGGAGGGTGGGGGTTAAGAGAAAATAGGGTACAACAAATATTTAGTTTTATTAAAATTTTTTCTATTCTGTCCACTGCAGTGGGGCAGGAAGGAAGGAGAAGATTGGCTGCTCCTTGCTGTCAAACTACATCAGTACCCAGGAATAGGGTCAATCATTTGATTATATTTTAGAGACCAGATGTGGGAATGAATGTTCCAAGTGTGTTACTTGAGTGGTTTTGACAGATCAAAGACACTGTCACCTTAGCTGCACCAGGGTTGAGGAAATCTTTCCAAGGTCTATTAGCTTAGTGGTTCCACAGCCCAAGATACTTGCTGCAAAGCTTAGCCAGAAGAGCTACCCAACCTGCTTTGCTTTTCAGCTTTTGCAAAGGCAGGAGATATTATCTATTGCTCTAGATGAGCAGGATGTCATGTCCCCTTCATGCGCCTGGGCACACTGTCCACTGCCCAGGCATCTGCAACTAAGGATGCCCAGATCCAATACGTACTCTCCAAGATTGAACCACATATCTTATTGCCCTTGTGGGTGGAGTTTGAATCCAGTGATCTAGCTGGGGAGTCCCCCAAGAGATTACACTTGAGCGATCGCAGACTTGACTTTTGTGTAGGTCAGCTAGTGCAGTGCCAGTTTTGGTCCGTCACTCGCACCAATCAAGGCATTTTTTTTTTTTCGGCATAGTTTTGCAACATGCATTAATCAGGAAAATATTTAACATAACTATTTTCATTTCAGCAACAGATTTACAATATCAGTAAGACACAGAAAATAATTGAGTTTTCTACTAATCACTAATATCACCAAATGCTATATAGGTTGTAACTGAGACTAGATAGAGATAAGATATCCAAACATAATTGGCTTTTCCCGGTCCTTTTATATTTTTCCTTTGAATGTGAATGTGAAAACATCTAGTCTGTTCTGACAGAAAGTGTCCTATGAGATATTAATTGGGATCTATTGAAATTACAGTTCAACTTAATTAGCCTCTAACAATATTATGCCATTCAAGTAAAAGTCTCTTAAAACACATTTCAGGAAGATTGCAGTTTTCAACATTAGTATTTCCATGATCTTTCCCTAAATGCACTGAAGTTTTAAATGTAGGGTTAAACTGGTGTTTTCAGCTTATTTTTCTCTGTTTTACTGCCAATGTATGCTTTGTTGCTTTATAATTATTCTGGGGCCTGTGTTACAGTGCACCACGTTACCCACTCCTTAAAGCTTCTACATGCCAAATCAAGTGCCAGTTCTAGTCCCAGCTTAATGGTAATGAGTTTGGGATTATAGAAGATGGCAGCAAAGGTGCTTGGTCTTCTACCAATCATATTTTACACCCAGATGGAATTCCTGGCGGTGGTATCAGTCCAGCTCAGAGGTGGCTGTTATGATCATTTGGGGAATGCATGGACAAATGAATGAAAACATTCTCTGTTACTCTTTCAGATAAATAAGTAAATCTTCAACAACAATTATATGTTTGAGACAAATTTGAGATTTTTGAGAAACTTACAAGACCAGATCACAAAACCTGAGGACATTCTGCTTGTTTTTTCTGCCTCCCCATATCCCTTGTGTTCTAATTCAAAGTCATTTAAGAGAAAAATAGTTTTTTTAAACAAAGTCATTCAAAAGGAAATGAGAAAGTATTTTTTTAAGGTAAACAATCTGATAAGCTGCAAACATTGTACTTTTTCATGACTTAAAAATTTTAGTTAGCATTTCCTTTGGAAATATAGCTTACTGTATAAGCATAAAACAATTTTTAAAATCAGGAAATTGAACACAAGATTGGTGTTAGTACACTGACTTTGCAAATTATAGTCTATTTTCAAAACATTTTTAAATTTACATATGTAAATCTCATCAGCATATAGAAACAGTTTTATTTATTTCTTCCCAAACATTATGTTCTTTCCTGCAAATTATTCTGAATTAGTCCCCATGGTAAAGTTTGTAGACAGCAGTAAAAATGAATATTCTCCATACTGTGGTCCTAAGGTCAGAAAATGACAATGATTCACTGTTGAGGTTATTTTTAAGCACCCTTTTTTACAATGTCTCTTCATTATTTGAAAGTTATATGGAAATTCACCAATTGCTTTCCTTCATTTATAGAGATTATTTTTTCCTCCTGTTTCTCTCTTTTTCAGATTTTAAAAAAAAAATTTCACTTGTCATTATACAGCTCTGTGGGCACATGGAATTCCCCTTTTACTCCACCCCAATTATTTTCCTCTATATTATAACAATAGTATAATCCTTCAAAACGAGTCACAAGTCCATCATTCTGCTATGTAATGATATCATGACATTATTGTTATAGACCATGGTAGAACACCCAGTATCCTATTGCCAAAATGTATTTAGCAGTTTCATTGGAAGTCTATCTTTTATTTAGAAACAGAGATGCATACTGCAATGTATCTTCATTTCTTAATATACTTGTTTCCATTATACAGTTTCTTCAGATAAATATATGCATATGCAGTTTTTCTGTATACCTACTGATGTTCAGTGAAATAAGGCAATCCCCAAAGGACAAATATTGCATGTTCTCTCTGATATAAGGCCATCTTCATGTAAACACAAGACCAACAGCTGTACAGGTAAATAAGCACACATATTTATCTAGAGGAACTGTGTTCTAGAAGGATTTCATTAACTAGTTTTCAATATTAACTCAGTCTTGAACTTCTGGGATTCGCCCTCTTTGGTCATGAGATATGGTCCTCGGTTTTTAGTACTTGAATTCAATATTAAATGTTTAATAATTGTGTGTGTGTGTGCACACTCATGAGTGTGTGTGTGCTCTTAAGTGTTTTGGAGCATTTATGAAAGCAGTCAAGGATGGCCCAGTGCTTTGGGATCCTGTACCTACGTGGGAGACCTTGGGGACACTGCACCCATGTGGGAGACCTGGGGGAAGTCCTGGCTCCTGCTTTGGATCAGCACAGTTCTGGCCATTGAGGTCACTTGGGGAGTGAATCATCGGACGAAAGATATTCCTCTCTGTCTCTCCTCCTCTCTGTATATCTAACTTTGCAATAAATATAAAATTAATCTTTAAAAAAAATCTGTTTTTCCTCTCAAATAAATTTTTAAAAAATTATAAATATCAAACTGATTATTAATACTATTGTCAAAACCTGCTATAGACTTACTCATGTTTTGACTAATCAAGTATGTATAAAGGAATATTAAAATCTTCAAGTATAAATGTTTCTGTTTCTTTAGTGTTATTAGTGTTTGCTAATGATTTTGGCTTAAATGTTTTAATTCTTTGTTATTAGGTATGCAAGTCTTTCAAGTAGTAATATCTCCCATATTAATTAATACTGTTTCACTATGAGATAGTGCTATTAATTTCTGGCAATAGACCTAAGATCCATGGTTGTAATTTACTGAAGTGACCAGTCATGCTCTAGAAAAAAAAATAACAAACCAGCAAAAACATGCTCAGTATTGATGATAATTTTCTTCTCATTTAGACCTGAATTTTCATTGAGTGCCATTCCCTCAGTCCTGAGTCACTTTGTTTTCTGTTAGTATTAATGTCATTCTACAGGTGATGAATTCTCTCTGTTCTCCTTTATCTGAAAATGTCTTTTTAATTTTCATGCTGAAAGCCATTTTCATAGAATATGGGCTTCCAGTTTTATATTGCTTTGCTTCTCATATATTAAAAAATAGTATTCTACTGCATTCTTATATTTTGATATGAGAGCTAGGCAATAGTTTCAACATTTTGCTACTTAAATATAATGTGCTTTCACTCAGGCTACTTCAATTTTTTCCCTCATCTTTGGTTTATGATAATGAGTATGATGTGTCCAGGTATTGTAATTTTTTGTCTCTATTCTGTTTGGGTTTCCTAACTTCTTGGAAACATGGATTAATACATTTTTATTCAACCTGAAAAAATTTCAGCAGTTATTTCTTATTTCCTGCCCACCATGATATCTTAAACCCCACTTTTGCACTTAGAACTTCATATATATATCAATTCTCGTTGTTCTGTTGGAAACTGAGGCTTTGTTTATTTGTCAGCTTTTTAAAAAAATTGATTTATTTATTTGCTAGATGAAAGGTCACATATTCGAGTGTGGGCGAGACAGAGAAAGATCCACTCCATCCACTGTTTCCCTCCTCCGTTAGTCATAGCAGCCAGGATTGAGCCAGACTAACACTGGGAAACAGGAATTCCATCCAGGATTCCTATGTGAGTGACGGGGGCGCAGGTGCATTAGCAGGAAGCTGGATCAGAAGCAAACCACCTGAGATGCCAACTGGCACTGTAACTTGGAATGTAGGGCTCAAATCTAAAAGTTAAACCCAATGTACTACCAAGCTGGCTCAGGATTTCTCTTCTTTTTCCCACTGCAAAATTGCGTCACCTATGAATACAGTCTCTTTGTTATTTCTCATGTTAAATACCATCTGTTTCTGTTCTTGACATTCTATTTTGGTTTTTAAAAGTTTATAGTTTTCAACCAAAATGTTTGATGCGTAATTATTCACGATGTTATTTAAAAATATTTACTTGAAGGAGTCAGAGAGAGAGAGAGAGAGAGAGGAAAAAGAGGGCTAAGAGAGAGAGAGAGAGACAGGGGGAAGAGAGTAATCAATCATCTGCTGGTCCATTCTCCAGATTACTGTAACAGCCAGAGCTGGGTGAGGCAATAGCTGGGACCCCCTTACTTCCCAATGGGTGGCAGAGAATGAAACACTTGGGCCATCTTCTGTGATGCTTCGAAGGTTTGGTGTGAGAGGGGCACTCAGATGGAGCTTCTAGCTTTTAGCTCCTGGTGTCCTTGCTATAATCTGGACCAACAGGTGGAAGGTGGATCTTTCTAACACTTTTCAAAGCTTCAGCTAGAAATGCATTGTGGTTTTACAATAGGTTTTTCAACTATTTATAGTAGAAAGGAAAGTTGGATATGTTTATCTTTTCTAGACCAAAATTTGAAAATTCATTTCAAGTACACATTACATAGCAATTTAAACTGATTGCACTAGTAAGGACCTTGAACATGGTACCTGTTGATGTTACTTATAGAAATTCATATGTGGCACACTTTCTAAAGGGAGTGGTTCAAGAACCACTAAAAAAAAAAAAGTACATTCAATTTGGGCACTGTGCAGTAGCATAGTGCCTAAGGTCCTCGCCTTGCATGAGCCAGAATCCTTTATGGGGGCAGGTTCAAATCCCATTGTCCCCGCTTCCCATCCAGCTTCCTGCTTGTGGGCTGGGAAAGCAGCCAAGGATGGCCCAAAACCTTGGGACCCTGCACCTACAAGGGAGACTTGGAAGAAGCTCAGGGATCATGGCTTTGGATAGGTATAGCTCTGGGCCTTGTGGTGCGAGTGAATCAACGGACAGATGATTTTCCTCTCTCGTCCTCTCTGTGTATCTGAATTTCAATTAAAAACAAAACAAAACCTATATTCACTTCATTTAAGGACATAGATATGGTTATTTTATAAACCAGACTGGGGTAAATATACGTATATAAACATACAGAATGACATACATCATATTCCCAAATTGGAGACAAAATATGGAGAAAATTAAAGTGGCTTAGACTACCATCAATGCTGTACAAAAATTCACATATTTTGTAAAGTTTTTAGTGTTCTGTTTATCAATATGGCTCATTTCAAAGTTTGGAAGCTTTATAGATGAAAGACATCCTCCTAATAGGATGATCCTTTGAATAATTTTTTGGCATCTTCAGAAGTTAAATACTGAAGTCTTAACAAACTATTTTTGGATGTATCTTTAAAGAAGAGAAAACATTGAATGTTAAGCACAAAGTAATATGAAATGATACTCACTCTACTACAAGCACCCGTGGTGGTCTCACACACAGTGAGAATGGAGATGTTCTGAGGCCGATTTAACCATCTTACCACTGTCTTGGTATTGCTTACCCATTTAACCATAGTGACATAATATTCTCTAGTATGGAAACAAAAATGAAGCATAGGTTCAGAGCCAAAGAATCTGCACCGTCCCAGTGCTATAAACTTGTCATCTTTATGCAAGCTGACTTAAACACAGGAACAATTCTGTAGCATCTTAATTTATATTTATGAATATGATAATCGTTGAGTATATATAAATGCAAATGTGCATATATTTATATACATGCATATACATATACAAATAGACAAAAAGTTAAAAATACATTTAGGAGTAAATTATGCCTGAGAAAATTCATCTTCAAAAGCAGAACATAATTTGAAGCTAAAAATTTCAGAAAAAAATATTTGTATTGATTAGTACTAATATATGTGTAAAACACATATACATTTTAAAATTATATTTAACAATACAATCACTATTTAAAAGGAAAAGTCACTGCAAATTATATTCTATGCATTCACTTTATGATATCTTAATTCATAAATGAGGATTTTGGTTATACGACTAAGAATAGCCTATTCTGATCTTTGTATATTATGCAACAATAATCACCTGCAATCTACATATCTACATATATATATGTTTTATAATATTGTTATTTATTTGATTTAGGATAAAATAAGTCACCAAACTATAGGAAAGAAGATGAGTGTTACTAAATTTTTAGTACCATGAGGATGATAATAATGAGGGCTTCGATGAACACAGAGTGATTGGAGATTGAGAAAAATGTTTATGAATTTTCTTTCATAACACACTGAAGATTCTGTACTTACAAATTTACATAAAAATTGCAAAACTCTCCACCCACACACAATAAAATGTAATTCTAATTTGTTCAGGATAAACTTGCCCCATGTGAGAATAAGGGAGTAGTTTTAGATATGGTTGGAAAAGTGACATCCCCGGGGCACTGTATCAAAGTGAATCAACTTGGCTATCATGGCACTGATAATCTCACTAGGGAAGAACAACCTGGGGATACAGACCATCTGTCTTTCACATGTATGACTTACAGGTCCAGTTCCTCGAAGCTCACATTTCCAACCATACAAAGTAGCTCCTGCTTGCATTGGAAAATCTGTTAGTCCATCAAAGTGAAGATGTCAGGGGAAGGCCAAGTTTAACTTGTCAGACAATGAAGCCTGCTATGGTTTCTTCAACAAGCTTTTCAAGACATGTGGCAGCTTTCACAACTAGCTAAGCCTTGCTTGAAAAGTGGCTAGAAATTCAATGAGATCATAACCTCAACTGCCCTTAAACAGAGCTAACAAGGAAGCTCAAAATCAAATATGCAGCTGGTTGAAACATACTCTGACCAAATCAAAGGGCCTTGTGATCTTGCACAAAATATGTTCTGTTCTTTCCCACTGGATAGCAGTTAAGCTGATTTATTTTGCATACATTATCATGTTAATCATTGTGAATATTAAAAGCAGAAAATACAGATATTAATTTTTTATAGTTTATACAGGACATTTTGCTTGGAGTCAAGGGATAGTACTTATTATAAGCAACCAATACAATGCAAAATGCTGAAAAATATCTATCTCTGATTATTTCTGAATAATTGGCAAGAATATCTTTAAAATGAAACAACAGGCCCAGTGCAGTAACCTAGTGGCTAAAGTCCTCACTTTGCATGTGCCATGATCCCATATAGGTGCCAGTTCGTGTCCTGACTCCTCCAGTTTCATTCCAGCTCCCTGCTTGTGGCCTGGGAAAGCAGTAGAGGATGGATCAAAGCCTTGGGACCCTATACCCCACGTGGGAGACCCAGAAGAAGCTCCTGGTTCCTGGATTCAAATCTGTTTAGCTCCAGTCTTTGCAGCCATTTGGGAAATGGATCAGTGGATGGATTATAATTTGTCTGTCTCTCATTCTCTCTATAAATCTGGGTTTCTAATAAAAATAAATATATCTTTAAAAAAGAAAACAATTTGTATGTTGTTAATAACTAACCAAAGACTGCTAAAGAAAGAAGGAGACATATTTTGGAAAATACACCTGATAGAACTGGAATACAGTTCTTTTTGAAATATAATATAGTTCAGCTTGTTCGTGGTAATAAGCATTTTTTTTTTTTGCAAAACGAGTTGATAATCTAACAAAACTTAAATAGGAAAGCCACAACAAACAGCTCAGATATTCCATTTTGATTGCTATCATTTTCCAAGTAGCTCTTAAGTAAAAAGCTATGAGAACATTCTGCCACGTGAAAGACACTCATGTCCCGGCAGCTCCACTTCCCATCCAGCTCCCTGCTTGTGGCCTGGGAAAGAAGCAGAGGACAGCCCAATGCCCTGGGACCCTGCACCCAAACTGGAGACCTGGAAGAAGCTCCCAGCAGGGAACCAGCAGATGGAAGATCTTTTTATCTGTCTCCCCCCCTCTCCATAAAACTGCTTTACCAATAAAAAAAATAACATTTTTTAAAAATGGCTACTTTATAGCCAAAAACAGCATCTGTTTGATTAGGTGATTAATTTCTAACAAAAAATAGTATCATATACTCATGAACAAAATTTTAATCTGATGTGAAATATCTTTGTATATTTTTATTCATATTTATGGATGGCCCTGTAATGGCAATAAATGCCTAAAGAGAAACAATTTTCACAAAAATTAAATTTATAATTTCAGAAACTTACTTGGGGTAATTCCAAGCCAAGGCAATTTCTGTGCACTTTGCCCTGTGACTTAAGGCAGCATAATCCCACTGTCTGTAAGTATCCAGGCTTTCTCAGAATGAGGGGTCAGGCTCAGTGGCGGCCTTACCTGGAATGTGACACTGCTTGGCCTGCCTGCTGCAGGAGCTGCCATCCTCCTGGAATTCCATCTCATGAACACATTAGATCTGATGTCCCTTGACCAGTGGCCAGCCGATGCCTTTCTGATAACTGGCTTTCCTGCTTGTTCCTAGTCTCCATGGCTCTGGTTGACCCAGGTAGTCCTCGAGGATCTGGTCCTCTTGAGCCATAGAGACAGAGACAAGCAGGTTAGAGGGATTGCACTTGAGTCCACAGAGACGTTTTATCAGCTGGGTGGTCTGGCACAGAAGATCTAATTATCCACAAGAGTAGGTAAAATGGAGGCCCCAGCATCACCTGCAGAAGGTGTGCTAGCACACCTGTGCTTTTAATGGCTTCCTGTCCAACGATCCCTTGGCACAGCATGAATTTTGTGCATGTATAGTTATTTTGATGTCATTCTCTTGGGGAATAATCTGGGATATTTGCCCAAAAATATATTGTAGTGGCATTCATGACGAATTCATTTAGTGCCTTACAAAGACCTTCATTAACAATTATGCAGTACATACAGCAAGGGTTCTTTATGACACTTTCTCATGAACAAATACATTTATGAATTATCTTTTAAAAAAATTGTTCTTTCTTGGAAGAACAAGGGATGTGGACTCTAGATACATATCAAATGAATAGAAACTCTGACTGTGCCAAGCCCAGAGACAAGGGAAATGTGACAGCTAGGGTCAAACATGCAGGTTGACAGCATGGTGTCAAAAACAGTGGTTAACTGGAGAAAGAACTCAGATGAATAATATTAAAGATACAGTGTAAGCAGAAACCCCATATATTACTCTAACTTTTCTATGTACAAATGAAAAAGGATCACTCCTTCAAATAACAAGGCAATATCCACTCTGTGGAATTATATGTGGTTTACTCTCAGAAAAATACATACATTGATTTTAACCATATAGTCTTTATATTAATGATTTATTTATTAGAAAGGCAGAATGCCTTTAAAAAAATAAAAAGAATAACGGAAGGGATGGAGGGGGGAGAAAGGAGAATGATCCATGGGACCATCTTCCGTTATTTCCCAAACTCTGTAACATCCAGGACCGAACCAGGTGAGATTCAGTAGCCCAAAGTTTCATCCAAGTCTCCCACGTAAGTATCAGGGACCTAGAACTATCCCATCATCAGCTGCTTTCCCAGACACATTACTAGGAAGCTGGATCGGAAGCAGAGAATCTGGAACACAAACTGGCGCTCCGGTAAGGCAAGCTGGCATCGCAGGAACTGAACCCACTGTGTCAAACTGCCAGCTTCCACCTGCACATTTTGAAATTCACACCTAAGATTTTTCATAAAAGTGCTGAGTACTTGTTTGCAGTACTTGGACTTCACCATGTGATGATTTGTAATATGTCTCTTCCTATTTGGGCTGGGGATATTCAAGAGGGGGACATCATCCTAGTCCCCACTAGGTTACATTTGTTATATTTCAGAATTAACATAGACTATGATTTAAGTTTATGAGAACTGAATGATAATGAGTTGGAACTGACTTTCAAGATAGGTAATACTCTTAGTCTGCATTTGTTGGACACATTGTCTTTAGTGGGAGCTAACAAATATTAGGCAAATGAAGGGAACATAAAAGAAATTAGGCTTTTCTCTAAGCTGTGTTATCTCTTTAATTTCTCTCAAAAAAACATTCAGAGAAGTTGAAATTTAGGGTTTTAAGTCTTTCCTTTTAAGTGCCCAGTTGACGGAAAGGTAACAAATCGATTCTACCTTAGGGACTCTTCTTTAATAATTACAAATAATTGTTGATATAAACAAGTCTAAAATTCTAATAAACTATCAAAAACAAAACAAATGATCTTAAATTCAAAAAAAATTAGTCTCTGAGTAGAATTCAGGGAATATAATTCATAAGACAGTCCAACTCATAGAAGAACATTTTCCAACACTTATTAATCTTACTCCCTAGACAGGGATGCCCATGTGTAAGGGGCCTTCCAAGTGTTCATGGAAAATATGTATCAGGAAAACTTATTTCTGCATTTCAAAAATAACATATCAAATTTAACTTATTCTTTAATTCCACTTTCCACAAACTTTTTGAAGTATTCTTGCATGTTCAATTATTATTCTTATTTACATGGTGGATTTATTAAAGGGAAGAAACTTTAGGAATTGTTACAATTAAGAGTCAGCTGTCATAGAAACAGAGCAAAAAGGAAAAGAGAAATAGTATATGACCACTTTTATTAACTGTTGATTTATACTGAAGATTTATAAATACGTGATAAGTGCTTAAGTAACATACTCAAAAAAATCAACAGTTAAGTTACCAAAATAAGCTAATTATATGGGTATCATGTATCTCAAAGAATCTAGGTAGCAATATTAACTTAACCAGGTAAGGGCAACATAAAATTTCAGGAATTGGTGTTGCCATAATCAAACGACAGGCAGCAGATTCCCACAGTGTTCAGTCTAACTGCCATTAATTCTAGCCAACTGATGCTCTGGGGCCAGAATGACTGCAACTGATGCTCAGGGGCCAGTGTGACTGTAACTGATGCTCTGGGGCCAGAATGACTGCAACTGATGCTCAGGGGCCAGTGTGACTGTAACTGATGCTCAGGGGCCAGTGTGACTGTAACTGATGCTCTGGGGTCAGAGTGACTGTAACTGATGCTCTGGGGTCAGAGTGACTGTAACTGATACTCTGAGGCCAGTGTGACTGTAACTGATGCTCTGGGGTCAGAGTGACTGTAACTGATGCTCTGGGGTCAGAGTGACTGTAACTGATACTCTGAGGCCAGTGTGACTGTAACTGATGCTCTGGGGTCAGAGTGACTGTAACTGATGCTCTGGGGTCAGAGTGACTATAACTGATGCTCAGGGGTCAGAGTGACTGTAACTGATGCTCTGGGGTCAGAGTGACTGTAACTGATGCTCAGGGCCCAGTGTGACTGTAACTGATGCTCTGGGGTCAGAGTGACTGTAACTGATGCTCTGGGGTCAGAGTGACTGTAACTGATGCTCTGGGGTCAGAGTGACTGTAACTGATGCTCAGGGGCCAGTGTGACTGTAACTGATGCTCTGGGGTCAGAGTGACGGTAACTGATGCTCAGGGGCCAGTGTGACTGAGCCTATGTGAAGTTAGGCTACACCTTGGCTGTTACCATGCGTGGGGATGCTTTGCTTGTTATCTGAGCTTCTGACAGTCTGCCAGAGAAAAGCAGCACACAGATAGGATGAGTCTCCACCTACTGACCACTGTCCCGTCCTGAACACCTATGCTGTGGCCAGCTTGGCGCCTGCTCAATGTGCTTTGGCCTTTATCAGCACTATCCTGATGGTGTGCTATTCCTCTCACATCTTCCATAAACCAGCTGCTCTAAGGCTTCACTAAAAATCCTCATTCCATGAGACAGTAAGGATTGAAACTGGTAATCTGTTATTGTGGTAGTACGCCAAACTAAATGCTAAATTGTTCTCATTCTGATTCTTTGCCAGGGATAGAGACTGTGGTTTTTCTAACTTGATGGGCATAACTCAAACTCCAAACACAAGACAAATTTGACAAATTTACTGTGACATGGGTAAAGTACAACTAAATCTATATATGTGTGTTTTGTATAAATAGTAACAGAATCAAAGTGAGAGAACACTAGTTTTTACCAAAGGGAAATATAAAATGCATAAAATGTATCCTTACTGCAAATATTTAAAACCAGGATAAAAATCGGAAATTATTTTCAAACTTGGGTATGTAGGCCCTGAGAGAGGGAAAATGACTTGTTCAAGATGTATTAATACACACATGACTGGGATACTCCTAGTTTGGTTTTCTTTCCTATTACTCAGAGTATAAGCAAATCAGAGGAAAATACCAGCGTTTCAGAGCCTGAAACAGGACATCAGCTTAAGTAGCTACTCTGTTTCTGGAAAAATAATTCACAGCTGATGTGAATGGAGCTCAGGAACAGAAGCTCTTGTCCTTTTGCCCAGTCCTTTAGTATGGTCATTGAGATAAATCATAAAAGTTTTTCATCACAGACGAAAACATTCTGTCATTTATGAGATTGTCCTCATCTCATGTTCTACCTTCATGGAAACTAGTCTTGAGTTTCTACTTTAATATCTGTTTTTCCAAGCTCTGTTTTTCTCAACAGTATGAAAGAAAACAAAATAAACGAAAAATTTTTTTTTAGTAGATGAAAGCATTCTCAGTGTATACATTTGAGTCATTTTTTCAAGAAGAGAAAAGTCCCTACACATATCAGGCTGCGCTGCCTGTGCCAGTTCCCCACTGAGACGAAAAGTGTCTAAATATGTCAACATCTGAGTGGAAGTTCTGTTGGAATCAGTTACCCTGCTCTGATCCCCGACATAATCAAAACAAACTTTGAACTTGGGTCTCTGTCATCCAATAGAGTGTGAAACTGTGTTCTTACATCAGCCACCTGTCCTACGCTGATGAAAGGAGTCGGAGGGGGAATGGTAATAGGATAGAAAGAACAGAGACCGCTCTGGTAATGTGGAACACTTCCTTACCCTAGCTGGGAAGCCAGCCTAAGAAAGCAGGTGCAAAAATAAGACTTAAAAACTTTTTGTTGCTTATCCGGGAAAAATGCAGGCTCTGCCAGCCACACAGAGGGCCAGGTGGTTGGAGTTGTCAGTGACCAGCCTCCAGAGAAGATAAACAACTTTCTACCCATAGTCCCAATCCACCCCTACTTGATGTCCCTGGTACACCTCAAGAAAAAAACATATTCTGTGTCCTGTAAAAGTCACAAACAAATGGGAACAATGGAAAACAGAAGTGCAGACCACCACAAACAACACTTTTCTTGAAGAATCTTGTATTAATTCCCCAAGTGATATAAAACCCCCAGATTACTTCAATACAGCTTTTTCCTTCTGAAGAAGCCCCTCCTGGCTGCTTGCTTTTAGTTCTTTCAAACCCTCGAATCTTCACTGAAATTCTTTTGCTAACAGTTGCTTCCTTGGTTCATTGCAGATACAGCGTGTTTCTGAGGTTTGCTGTCAGCCGTTACATCTAGGTGTGTTGGACAAGCAGCATACTCTTCCGCTGTAAACTGTTACCCTGAAAAATCTGCTCTTTCCCAGCAACTGGGGTATTTGAAGAATCACTTCTGAGGTTTGAGTTCACTCAGAATCTCAAAGTGTGTATGGTTATTTGGTTAGCTGCTCACTACAAATTTTGCTAATATTCAGTTTATTCTTTTGACACAGAAAATGTGCTTTCTGTCTCCCTGCTGAAGCATCTTAAATGGGGAGAATTCCTGTGCAGATGAATTGGAAATATCTCTACATTATCGCATAGAAGAGATACTGCAGAATTACTGGCAAATTGGGTGAAAAAAGTTGAAAAAAAAACAAAACATGAATTTCTGGGCATTTATATGCTTTAAAAAATGGTATTTTTAAAAGCAAAGTGATTTTTTTTTAACAACATTAAATGAAATGTTATCTTTTATCCCTAGGTTTCTGCAGAATCTGCAGCCAAACATTGAATTCCCAGTATGAGTATCCTTCCACTTTGTGGTGCTTCTAACCATGTTGAAACAAAATGCCTCTTGGGAACAGCCAGACACCTAGAATGGCTTCATTCTTTACTAATGGAGGAAACCTCAGCTTTAGTTCCAAGTAGATTTATTGAGCTGATTCTATCTCTCTCTGAAATTACAGCAAAAAGATAATTGGATTGAAAATATCTATTTCCCCATAAAAGTTAAATTGGAAGTACATACCTTGATTTAAAACTCTCCGGTGGCATAAGTTCCAAAGTGTGAGTTGGTCCATATAAGTTTACAACATACAGTTTTACTGTTGGATTCACTTGACCTGCCTTGGAAAAAATGAGAGTTGGAATACAAGCATATTAAGCATTAGAATATATTGAGAGAAAAACAAAGAAAAGATAGTTGATGCATTTACTTTCTTGCATTACAGTGGGAAATGTGTAATTTCTCTAAAGTAGAAGAGATTTTAACTTCTACAAGTTGATGGCTTTCAATTGTTCTTGCAGATTGCTGCTTCTTAAGCATTTTAGCCAAACAATTACAGGTGACAAGCTATCACAATGACTCTGTTACACAGTGTCTCTGGGTTTTGTCCACAGCATGGCACCACGATGGTTGCAAAAAAAAAAAAAAAAAAAAACCCAAACAAAAAAAAGAGCTAGTGCATCAAGTTGTTGTTCATATTATAGAAATATGAATTGCAATGAGATGCATACTTAGCTAATCTAAAACAAAAATAAGGAAACAAACATGAAAGGAAAATGAAGGAGAAAAAAGAAATCAAGAAAGCAAGCAAGAACAACAAAAAAAAAACTTATTCAAACCAGATACATTATGCTTAAGATGTCTAATTTATTCTATTGCATTAATATCCTTGGCTTCTCTTTCAGACTTTACTGATTACTAAATGGACTGACTCATTTGTACAACTGAACACTGGGAGGTGGGCAGACTGCCCTCTCTGAGTCCCTGGCATTAAGACTGGAGAGGCAACACTAAGGATGTATAATTTGAGTTCAGTGAATCAAAATTGCATGAAATCAATAATAACTAACATACACAGCCATTGGGACACTTCTGGCCCATGGTATATGCCCATGGCATTGCATGAATTATCTCATTAAAGTCTCCACTGCAGACCTAAGGCATAATTATAATCATTTTCTAGATGACATGGAGAAATTAAGTGAACTGTGCCAGGTGAAATATCTCATAACACAGAGAGTTACTGTGTAAATTTAGGATTCTTTTAACTGCAGAGTTGCTGCTGTGATCTTCTTGCAGATTTAGTCAAAGGGGCCACCACCGTGATTAACTGGCAGGCAGGAATGGGAACTCTGACCGACATAGCTCAAGCAGTAGGAATGAATGGATATCCGCGTGACTGTCCAGATCAGTTGCTTACTAGTGGTTTCTGAACACTTCATCATTATCTTTATTGTATGGCTCTTACTCTGAAAGAGGGCTCTTTGAAATATACAAAGAAGATTAAAAGTGAGAGGAATTAGACAAAAAAAAATTCGATTCACCAATAACAAACATTCATGTTCAAAGAATTGGCATTGCTGGAACCTGGAGTTCAATCGAGCCCCACCCCCACCCCCTGAGAAGCACAATCTGCTTCATCAGTAGTCTAAAGTGTTCTTCAAGGCCTATTTCCTTGAGGTAGCATGAGAGACTCTGAATCTGTATGAGCCACACATAGGAGAGAAATTTGTGCAAAAATATAAGGGAATCAGGAAGGGAATTCATAATTCAATAAATTATGACTGCTAGCATTTCAAATATGAGGTCCTTGGTTTGAATAAGTGCTCTTTGCTTTGTTCTTGCTTGCACTCTTGATTTCTTTTGGGGGGATGCTATGGGAATGGCTCCTGCTGGACAGGGGTTTCTGGAAGATAAGCTAGGAGCCTGCTTCATAAAGGCTCTAGGCTCAGAAGCTGTAAACATTTTCCTTTTGCTCCCAAACCATCCAGGGAATAAGCACAGTTGCCATGGGTAATTTAGGCTTCTTTCATTCTTAGGAGCTCCATTTCCCACTATTTTTGTTTGAATTGGGTTATTCTGGCTGTCCCCGAAAACATCAGTTTTATCCATTTAACTTAGTTTGGTCATTTTTCCTACTGGATCAGATGTAGTAAAATTAAGTTCTGCACACTGTAATTAACACGTGTCCTCAAAGTATGGATTCTGGCCCAGCACTGTCAATAAATATGGCCTGGGACTTTAGAAACACAAGCATATGGGTTGCTATCCAGACCTACATTCTGATCCAAATTCAGAGTCTCTGGATGTGGGCTTAAAAAAAACACGTATCAGTTACCTAACAAGATTATCAAATGAGTATGCACATTTTGACAAAATATGTTGTCTATCTATCTATCCTTCTATTTTTCTATCTACTCCACAGTCTATTCATTGTCAAAGGTTTGCACACATCAGAGACATATATGGGCATTTAGAGCTTGCTAAGCCACAGATCACTGTAGCTCACTTTTACCCTGTTGTTACCTTCAGGTTACTGATAGGGTGATGTTTGGAATCTGCATTTGAAAAAAAAATCCAAGTTCACTCTTTATTTATTACATATTAGGATCCCATGCTAAACCTTGTCTCCTGCTATTTATGCAATGATCAAAAGTGAGACAAATACCTGTATGGAATTCTGTCATAAGGGCTAACTTTTGAGTCAGACATTTCTTGTCAATAACTAAAAATATAGATTTACTACACGGACTAGCAAAAAGCTTTGTATAAAGCATTGAAACTGGCATACACTGGTGAATTTAAAATTAATTAGTATTAAGATACCCAGCCTTCTAGCTAGAAGTTTACGTTTATGTGTTTTAATCATTCAAGAAACAGATTAATGCAAAGGGGAAATTAGATTTTATCCTACTGTGAACTCTCACCCATGATGTACAGATTTGAGACATACTTTCTCAAAGCTATTATCATATCTTCAAGCTTTCTTTGTCACAGTGTAAGTTCATGGCTGCATGCCCTTAGGTCCCAACAAACTTCTACATGGACATAAATTAAAAGTTGTTTTCACATGTGGCCACTGTTTAAACAGGAAATAAGCTGCTCAACATCAAGCTCTCCTTAAAATTCAGCTCTCTGGTGTTCTACTATCTTAGATTTTTATCTGTCCATGGAATTTTGAAATTGAGCACACATTTCATGTTCATTTAAGCATTTTAATATTTGAATTATTCCAACAGTTCACCAGCTACAGGAATGCATCTGTTTGCCTTTAAGGTCACATTTGCCACCAAGAGTGCAAATCTGCAGAATTCCTCCTTCAGTGGTTCTGAATCACAAGCTTCAGTAATAATTAACCTTATTTCACTGGCAACTAAATTGTCATTAAATGAGATAATGTTTTAATTAAGAAGATTAACCTGAGGTTACTGAGATAGAACTGTGCATCTCTATTGTGCTGAATTGCTAATGAAAGGGTATTTTATGTATTCTAAATCATGCTGAATTAAGTAAAATACAAATATAGTTATTTAGTGTAAGTATTTCATTAGTAAGTCTGACCACATTAAGTATTTGCCCAAATCACTTTAGTTTAGTCTAAACTAAAACACAATTTAGGATGAACTGCTTCAATTTCTATAGTACTGATTTTTTTTCTTTATTATGGTGCAAAGAGCAAAAAGAAGCAATACATTTGTTATGAGAAATAAGCATGTTTTAACCTGAGTAGAGAACAGTCTGAATGTGAAAGTCACATGCTCAATCTAGTATGGAGAATGAGAACCGAAACACAGATGAATCCTGCCATCTTAATTTCATGAAGAGCTATTCCTCCTAACATCCATTGAGTTTTCATTGTCTTGGCTTTACAAGCTAGAGTATTGGACTTCTTTCTAACATTATTCAGGGGAAGCTATTTCCAAACACTCAGGCGTGCATCCTGCTAGGAATTTCTGTTGCAGGAGTGAGATTCATAATGTGACCAATAATGCAGCTCAGCCATGAAGAATAGACAGAACAAAGCAGTACTGGATGACTTGACAAGCAGATATTTTGATTCCAGTTGCATCCTGTCTGGCTGCTAAAACACAACTTGACCTTGTGTAGTTTTAGGAAGAGAAATGGAAGGAACAAGCTGGTGTTATTTTTCTTGTCTCTCTCATAACTGTGCATTTTACAACAAGCAGTTTAGCTTTTAGAACGTACATTTTCCTATTTATACAACAGACGTAATTGTGACCAAGATCAAATGAGGAAAAAAGTTTTTTAAATTCTTGAAAAAATGGCATATTTTGGGGGATATATATATAATGCATCCAATTAATTCTTACTAATTAACGCATATCTTTACTATTAAGCAATGGCAAATAATTAGTTGTATAATGAATTAAAAATAATAAAGAACTAACAGATTTCCGATTACTCAGCTGTTTTGGTTTGCCTCCATCTTGTCAACTATAAGACCCAGGAGTGCCCATAAGTTAGAATTAGAGGTGCATTTCTGAATAGGTAACACAAAAGCCTGACTAAAACCTGTGTGTTTTTTTAAGTACATCCAAAATGATGCTGTTCTTGGGGAATGGAATAAAAAGATGTTCTTCCATGAGACTCACACGAGTATCTTTTCTTTATTACTCTGAACATAGCTGCATATCTCAGTCATTAGTTCTCCAGTCTCTTAAATTTCCAGGTGAAGTTCATTATCACATAAATCAAATAATGTGAGATTAAAATATTTGAGAAATCTTTAAGGCTTTTTGCAGTTGGGGATGAAATAGGGAGCAAAAAAAAAAGGTGCTGGGATCTATTCAGCCATACACTGCATTACACACACACACACACAAAGTTGTTAAATCTGTAATTAGAGAACTATAAAAAATGCTTGGTGTTCTGATAAAAAATATTTTGATGAATAAGATTGCTTTATGGTTATGTCAAATTTTCATTTTCTCCTGAAGAGCACTGAGCATGTGTCTTCCAAAACACGTTTATAAAAGATCCTAAATGTAGCTTCTCAAAATTATATCACTTGCTGACAGATGCAACTAGAATCAAAACATCCCCTTGTGAAGTTGTGGTATTTTCCAAGCCAGATACCTCATCATCCAGCTTCAAACACCACAACCCATAGAAAATGGCCAAACCCAATGAAGGGCTTCAGTTGCTCAGTGTGAAGAATGTTAATCTTAGTCCAAATTCTCCATTTTGGAGTTGTTTTTTTCTTGCTCTTTAGATAGTCTCAGTGCAAAGGATGTGTGAGCAACCATACTTCCACTCTTCGTCACTCCTCCCTGCCCCCCGCAGGCTCAGAGTAAGGAGTGCGCTGAAAATCTGACCAGGTAATGCAATGCACAAATTCAAAGGTAGATAATCTACCATACCTGAGAAAACAGGCTGCCACTCACAAAGAAAATTGCTTAAAAATGATCTCTGCATAAAAATATCATCTTCTAAGCAATTAAGAGCTGAAATGAATAATGTAGAATATTAGAGTATTTTTTTCTAAAATATCTTATGTGAATAATTTATAGGGGTCTCATTCTATGCCTATTTCTTTATAACATAAGCATGAGAATAGAATTCTAGAAACAGACCTTGAGTCCTAACACATGGCAAATGGAGCACCAAGTATATCCCAAATGTTTTAGACCCTGTTCCTAACAGCTTCAGAGAAAAGTGGAAATAATCGCAGCCTGAGCAGGATTGTTCTATTCTCACCAAGAGATAAAACTCTGTCTTCTCTTCTGGCTGTCATTCATTGCTTTTGACCCAATACTAGCCTTTCATAAATTAAGTTCCCCTGTTTGTTCCTCCCAAATAATGCTCATACTAATTCTAAGAAATCCTTTATGCTTTGCTTATTCTTTATTGAATTTCTTCATGCTTAGTGTCTTCTTCACTGGAGAATTTTTCTGCTTAGTCAGTTTTTATAGGAATTTTATAATGTACATTAACATACTGTACAGTAATTTATCCAAGGAATTATCTCAAAAAGTTTTTTAAATATCTAGCAACTTTCAACTTATTTGAGTATGAGTGTTCCCTTCCTTTGTAATAACCACTCACACCCTCATAACACGGCATTACTTTATTATTTTATCAGTTTATAGTTTATATTTTTTTTAAAAAGTGTGACAGTAAAGCGTGAGCTTCAGAAGAAAAGAAATACAATAAAAATGAAAGTTCCCACATTCCTGTATCATTTTGACATCTTGATACCCAAACACTGGGTCTAGACTACTAAAAAGTTGGAAATGATGAGTCCAGGAATAACAGAAGCTTCTATTTCCCCCCAAAGACACCCTGCTCATGAACAAGTGCTCTATCAATCAAGTAAAAGAGAACACTCCAGCACACTCATGTTACTTACCTTTGGATAGGGATACTGTTTCCCTTTGGGATACAGTGCGCCAGTAAACCGGGGAATAACCATATTAGGCACCAGCGAGTCATTTATCATCAGGAAGGCAAGTCTCTCTCCATCTGGTGACCACCAGTGGGCGATGTGAGAATGCAGAATCTCCTCTAGAACAAATGAATGTCATTTGAAAGTAACTGTGGAGATGTGCGTTCAGTGATCTACAGACATTAGTCCCGGAAATCATCATTGGGTATGTGTTCTTTCCAGACAGTGTGCTCTATTTTTATGAATTCCCCTGAAAATTCTGCATGTATGCATGCTTTCATTGCCAGGAAGAGCAGGTTCAAAGGAGAAAAAGGATCAAGAAATGGAATCCAGATTTCATGGACTGTTGGTAATGTGTGCACAGCAGATGAAAGAACCGTCACGGTAAATGAATAAGAAAAGTACTTGAAAAGTGACATATAGGCTATATCACACATGTCATCATTCAATCATCTTGGCTTGCAATCATGTTTCTATTCTCTCATCATCAAACAAGTGGAGGACCTAATGAATTATTGAGTGATTTTAAGCTCTAGGGAGATAGGATAAGGAATATTCTTGATATTTTTCATGTAACCTAACAACTGATATCCACTTAGCTTTGGCTGCTTTCCAGTTCGGAGAGTGTACCTGCAGAAGCTATACCCAAAGGATCTCCAAACCTTCCACCCACCACAGGATGTGATCACTGTAATGCATTTGCAGATGGTTATAGAGAGAAAAAAAATCAAATTACTTATTCCCTTGGCTCCATCCCACAAGGCCAATTCACACAGGCTGGGCACTTGTAATGATGTCACTACTCCTGTGATTGCAACCTCTTCCCCACAGTTTTCTCCATTGTGTCTGGCACTAGATGATCTGTATGATGACAGATATAGTAACATCTTGGTTGTTATGAGCTCAGTTTGCATCATTGTCTTTCTCCTTTCTCCTTTGTAAATTGTTTCTTTGTAAATAAATCTGTTTGATTGAAGTTGCCAATATTTTCATTTAAGAAGCCTGACAGATCCAGTTATTCATATCAGAGGGTTATCAGCAATCAGCCCTTCAAAATTGGAATTTGTGATCTCTCTCACACACATAGACTCACAGAAATATAAGGGTGCACTCATATGTGGAATGCCATACTCATCTTCCTAGGAACCGCAATATGGAAAATCTCCAACAAAAGTTGAAATCATGATTATTCAATGATCTGTGATAATTTCATGGAACAAAACTCAAAGAGGAAAGCCACTGAGAGAACAAATGCTTGTGGTGCTGAGTGCTTGCAGCAATGGTTATCTCAAAGATTCTGTAGTGCCCGTGGTTCTCCTGACACCCCAGCAAGGCACACAGGGAAAATTAGGAATTTGAAACCATGGTTTTGGAATCAGTAATGTTTATAGATAACAAATAGCCAAGAAGGCATTTTTGGAAAAGACTTTTTCTTCCATGTTAACAGTGAAGATATAGCTGAGGGTTAAGGAAATACAGAAAAGATATAAAAGATACAACTTTAGTAAGGGATTCAGTTTCATTTGTTCTTTCAAGAGAATGCAGACATTGGGGATACTATGGCCCTGACACTTAGTATATTTGGATAAAATATATATAGTATAATTGTGCTTTCTGGATCAATATCCTGAATCATACATTTTGTACCTGCCTACTACAGTACATGTCAAATTCAATGGCCAAAAAGTCTAAGCCTCAAAATTGTCTCTATACAACAAAACTCCTCTAGGTAATTGTAGAATACAAGAGACAATTTTATGTAAAAATTCAAGAATCTGAAACATCAGAGAATTTTCTAGAGACATAGTATACTAGCACTCACAGGTGTATCTCTTCTAACATGGGGGAAATATTGTTGAAACAGCATTTAAACAAAGGGAAATATTGGCCCTTTGGATTTTGATGATGATAAAACCTCATTTGCATGGATATTATATTCCTAATATCATGTAAAGTTGCCCAATGACCAATTCTACTCATAATTATACCTGAGCAAGTCAGGACTTTGCAACAGAGCTTGGCCATGGTCCAACCTTCCTTCATCCTCTAATTTGTGACCCAACAGATGTAATGGTGATAAAAGTATCTGGAACTGTTGGGACTCCCCATTTGAAAATTATAGCCCAGGCATAATAAGTTGTAGAGAAATTCCACTCTCAGGGTGATAAGTACTGGCTATTTCCAAAGGAACTCTCAACTGGACTTTGGTAGGAAATAATTAGCCACTGACTATGCAATGCAAGCTGTTCATTATGTACCAGTTTTTGCCTGATTCACTGACCAGAATCCACACTGGCAGAGAAGAAATAAGTCCAGGGTTGGATTTTATGCAGGGCTGCATGTTATACATGAAAAAGCTGGAACCAGTTTGTTCTGTACTACGATCTAACTTACAGAGGAACTGAAAGACAGTGATAAACAATAAATCCAAAGAATTTCGAGCAAACATTTGTCTACTTTCTGTATGAGACCTGGCTGGAACCATGGATTTATCCTAATTCTTGCATAACAAATAATGCAACATCCTGACAGAGGAGCTTGGGGAACTCCTCTGTCAAGGACACAGTCCCTGCAATTGAGTACAAGAAACAAGGCTGAGAGCAGCACAGACTAGGTCAGGTTAGAGAACCCATTGCCAAACATGTCAGACAGGTTTGGGGGCTGGCCAGGTTGGGCCAGTTCATGACACACACTGGTAGGTCTGAGAACCAGGACAGGGTGCAAGGTAGGCCTGGCTGGGCTATAACACCAGTTAATTCACATTATGGCCAGTCCTAGGAACTAGCTGGTCCAGCCCAGGCTTCAGTACCCATCAGCATTAGCTGGAACTGGACAATGACCAGGCCAGGCCAGGCTATTACACCCAATGGCAAATGCTTAAGTGAGGCAACCCATACCAGATCGCTGTGCATCACCCACAAGTACATGTGAGACCCTGGCAGTGGGGCATGCAAGCCTGGTATGGGGTTAGTTGGGAACTTCCCTGATGAGCCACTTCTCCTACTGATGGACTTGAGAACTGGCATCGAGGCAGACCAGGTTGGGCAGCACTACAACTGATGGCATCACAGCAAATTAGGTTAGGGGAAGATCCAGGCTGGGTTTAATAATTGTACCCATTGTTGCAGGCATAGGCCAGAATAAAAGCAGGCAAGTTGGGCTTTACCACAGCAGCAGCTGGCAAGTGCTGGGACTGGTGGCAAATCCTGACAAGCTAGCTTGCAGAACTACCTTGAGAGTGTAAGATCTGGGACTGGGATTGGGCCCAGCAGAGAAGCTGTAGGCACCTCTTTGATGCATTGCATCTCCCACTGGTAAGCTTGGGAACCCGGGCTATGGGCAGGCCTTGATAATAGGGGTGGCTGCAGCAGGCATGAGTGTGGGTTGGATTCTGGGGTTGGTTGGGTTGAGCTGGGCTTCAGTGCCCACTGATGTGCTAGAGAGCTGAATGGGATGTGGGACAGACTGGCACAGTCTGCTGCACAATACAGGCCAACACAGGAATCAGAAGTAGGGGGCAGAGGCGGGCCTAGTGTGGGGCTATCAGGGTCATTATGATTAGGCTGCTATTCCTGTTGGTGTATGTTAGGGCCAAGTGTGTGGTGGCTGGGTGGGGTTGGGCCTCAGCACCACCAGTTTACATAAGAAAATGGGCTAGAGAAAGAACTGACCCAGCAATTGAAACTATAAGTGTATGCATAGGCTGATGTGGTAAATGAACAGATCTGGACCTCATACTGGCTAGCACACATGAGTCAGGTCTTGGATCACTTCAGACACAGTTTCTTTGGGGATCTCTTCAACTCATCCACTGGACTCAGAATCCCAACCATGGGGTAGAATCACAGGATCTGTGCTCTGCAAATGTCAAAACTGGGCCTCCTCAGTGGAAAAGACAGAGCAGTGAGGGCATATCCAGAAGCACATGGATAATTTCGCAGTCTATTGGAGCCTGCAGGGGACATCTGGTACCATAACAGAGGAAGGAGGGCAAAACAAATTGGTCAAATTTCCCAGCCAAATATTGCCCACAAATATCTGGGCAAATAGAGAATCGAAAGTGAACTATGTAAGCCAATGAACCTTGGAAGAATTTCCTCATCTTTGGATCAGCAAGATTGCCAACATTTCAGAACTATCAAAACCACTTGAGCAGAACCCTCAGTTCATGCTCTGTATCGGGTCCTGGGGATGGCCTGAGTGGTCATTCCTCATCTCTGGATGCAGAGGTGGTTGAGAGGCTGGGTGTGGCTTTCCCCCGTCTCTCCCTGCTTCCCCAGATACAGGAAGAAGAAAAAGAAAATTTGGAAACAATAATCTTACCCACTTTCCCTTAATCCTTGACTTTCTCCACCGTAATCAGCTATGCAAACATTATCGGAAATAAAAGTTAAAAATAACAATACCTCTCCTGAAGAACATTTTTTTAAGTACAACTGTAAAAGTAATGACAAAGATTTTAGGGAAAAAATGAGCAAATGGAGTTATTTAAAGAGGAAAGTTGTTTAAAAAAATAAAGGTATCAGCACTGCACTGGGTGTCTACCAGAGTGTAGTCATTGCAGATAGATACAAGAAACAACCTCCGTGAAGGATGCAGTTCATGTCAGTCACTCTGTGATACCATCACCTTTTTCTGCCAATGCCCATGGCCATCCTGGAGATTTTCATATCAAATCCTTTCTTAGCAGCATCAGATGATTACATATTGACAGGTGGACTTAAAGGGACAAACACAGGGTCTGGGAGTTGATTTTTCTCTACGGCCTACAGTTTTATCAAGCCCTTACGCATAGACTTACAGAGACTCTAACCTGTGACTGTAATAGCTCACAATAAATTTCCTAATACGACAGACACATTTTGTGTTAAAAAATGGGTGGGGGAGGTCCAGTGTAGAACATGGTCTCCTCATGTTCGCTCTTGTTTCTTTGTATCTTGATTCTCGGAAAAATAATTTCTCTGCTCTCCCTCTGTTGAGAGGGACCAAGGTGTTGACGCGGGGACCAAGCACAAGATGTGTCCTTACTCTATGGTCAGTCTATACACAGATTAAGGAGGTGAGGGAGGGGAAGAAATAATGACTGCTTTATGAACACCAGTGATTCACTGGACGCCTA